TGGAAAATAAAGTTCCAGAAAGTAAAATTTCAAGAAGTAAATCGAGAAGCAAGATTACAGAGGTAAGCTTAGAGATGTAAGCTTAGAGAGGTAAACTTTTTGAATAGTCAATTCGAGTAGTAAAATCAGCAAAGTAAAATCACATTGCCCTCATAATAATTTGCATCCAAAACAATAACTTTGCACTCAAAACACATTTGGAGTGTATATACTACTCGGTTACGCAATCAGTTATTGCGGCCATGAATTAACTTTTCGAGTGTTTCAGGCAAAAACTAACTTCTCAAATGCTTCAAGCATGAGTTAACTTCTCAGATGCTTCATGCTTCAGGCATAAACTAACCTTTTTATCCATGAATATATTTTCATGAATTACCCAAACATTATCATGACACCAATCATTTCTTCATCAATACCTCATCATTTCATTATCATCATATATCACAGTATTTGCTTCCGGAAAATTACTTAAAATCATCAAGATGATGTGCATTCTTCGACGACCAAATGCACCAACATTGTTAGCAAACCTGCTTCTGGCTAGGATTTTGCCTCGATGAGTTTGGTCATCCTTGAATATATTGACCACTTTGTTTCTTATTCTGAGCTCGAAACTCATATCACACCGGTTATAATTTCGACTGCAACCCATTATAAAGTTGCTCAACTGGGTAACATTATGTGCTTCAGGCACCTGTGCAAAAATCGACCAGACATGCATTTTGATTCTTCATCAACAACTAGTTATGTTTCTTAGCCACAAGGGGTGCTAAAATCAGCTTAGGATGCTTCTCATAATTTGTTGTCTTGTACTACTGCTGGAGTACAAATTACTCTCATGAAAAGTTGGCAATGTCTTTCCAATTAAATATTTCTCTGAAACTTCTTGTTTAGAGTTTCACTTGCGAGACTATTTTGTGCATAGCTGAATTATAATTAATCACTTACTTATATTATGATCTCAAAATTAAACATGAGATTAAACTAGTCAAAATGTGTCTAAGGAAGAACATTTGATGACTTCTGGTCGGAATAGTCCTTCAGGGACTACCATTAATTCAAGGGGTTCTTTTTCAATCAGATACTCATTTTTTTAAGGTTGTGGTTCAAGTGGTGACGTATGAAAATGAGAGCTTGTGCCTTCTAGGCATCGGTGCTTTGTGACTTAGCAACAAAAAACTTGGCTCAATTCTTTAGATGCCGAATATATTTCAATATCAAGAGCTCAAGATAAATAATTGCTTCATTCATAAGTGAGTTCAATAAATTCACATTTGACAATTGAATACGTAATCTACAAAACATATATCATATGTTCTCATATACATTCATAATATCACATGTTTATAGAAAAATAAGGAATTTAACATCTTCTAGATGCAAAATGAACTTTCCGAGATGAAGTCAAAAGATAAAATCAGAAAACAAATTGATCTTTCGAATATACACAAAAACCGAAATGGTGCAACACGAATTGGTGAGGCAAACACCAAATTGAAGCAACAAGCATCGGCTCGTGTTTATACCATCAACTCGTGCTACAAGCAACAAGGCACGAATCGGTGCGAAAACACCGAATTGATGCAGCAAGCATCGACTCGTGTTTATAGCATCAACTCACGCTACAGGCAACGAGTGGTGTTTCATTCTCCAATACACCGAATTGATGCTCCCAAGTCATCAATTAAGCTTTAAAGTCTTACTCACTCTTAAGCTTCCACAAAATAAACTTTAACGATCTTAATTAAAAACCATTCATTCATTGCCTAATCGGCACAAAAACTAATTGCTAATCACATGCAAATGACATATCATAAAAACATAATAATGCACTACATCATAGGGTATATAACATACAAAGTATGCGAAATGAAAATAATATGTATACATACATTGCATCTTCATACGAAAAGCCCCATCTATTTACACAAACATATATATCACATGCTTTTCTTTCAATTTTAAGAATCAAAAATAAAATTGGAAATATATATTCAGGAATTTACACAATTATATATATATGAACCGGTATGTGCAATTCATATTTCAAATTTTAGAATCAATATGTATCATATCAATCATGTATTTCATAATCATATCAAGAGGTGTAGAATCAACATGTGCCATATAAAAACATGTATTATATGAAGCCTATGAACATGCTTGCCTAGTATAAAAATATGTATTATAACATGTCCGAGCATACCGTTCACCGAGAAATATGTTGGCGATTCGTGCTAATAACGTGTTGTAATTTGGCCTATCAACTAGCTCAGTTCTCACGTGATGTTTGCACGGTAACTCGCCCGGAGGTTCATATATATGTATGCGTGTATACGTAAAGAAGAGAAAAAGGAGAAGAAGAAGAAGAACACCAAATGTAGGGGACAACAATATGTGTGTCATTTCATTAGCCTTCACTCCATTATATAAGGTTTCATACAACCTTTCACATACTCAACATCAATACATGATTAAAGGTTAAGCTATTGAAAGGTCTAATGGTTTAATGGCCACTAATAAAATATTTATAACATGACTTTTTGTGTTTAATTAGGTCATCGGCTTTAATGATTTTACCCAAGTGTGTCTTTGGCTATCATAATCAAGGATTAAATTGAGAAAAATTACTATAGTTGATAACTAAATTGGATAAAACTTCTATAATCGAAGACGAATTTGGATAGAATTACTATAGTCGATGACTAAATTATGTATTAATAGAGGTGAAATTACCAAATCACCTTAATAGATGACTCAATTGCGTAAAACTATCAAAGCCGATAACCTAATTAAGCACAAAAAATCATTTAGAATTATATCAAGAAAATCACTAGGGCTAAATTAGATATTACCCATTTTATTTGTGTTTCTGCGTGTGAAAATGACAAATATGGTTGGAGTACTTATTCTTAATACACTTTACTATATATGCAGTAGAGTTAAATCTTTTTTCAACTGGCCTATTAGCTCAGTTGGTTAGAGCGTCGTGCTAATAATGCGAAGGTCGCAGGTTCGAAACCTGCATGGGCCAATATTTTTATTAACTATATAAATAATTAGTAATTATAATACTCCGAATTAAGCTGCCCTCTTACGGCGCTATTCTGATTGGGATACGCAAGCGGTGGGTGGCAATCTGGCAGAGACCCTCAGACCCTTTCTCTCACTGAAACACTTTTTATTCTCACCAAACACAACAGACATATTCCCTTCTTACACTCAGATTCTCTCTTTATTATTTTTTATTTTTTAAAAAAACACATTTCCCCAAATCCAAATAATTGAACAACCTTCCCATATCACCCCCACACCCAAACATCTTTGAATCAAAAACATCAAATGACTAACAACATTTGCCTCCGATGGAGCTTATTGCTGCCTCCCAGCCCCCGCCACCGGGTACTAGACATGGACCCTTTACCGGTCCTGTCCAACCGTCAATATAATATTGTGCCACTTTTTGACTTTTTGCTCAAAAGCAACCCTGGCTAGATTAGAAGAAACTATTGTTTCTTAGAGCATTCATAATAGTTGAGATATTTTATGGTTTTTGAGGAGTTTTTGTAAGTGTAATTAGAAAAGAGAATATGGAAGGAAGAGAAAAAAAAAACAATAAAACAAAATTGATTAAAAAAAAAAAAAAGAATAAGAGAGAGAATGTCAGCGTGCCTGGGCACACTTGTGACAGCCACACGAGGTTGTTTTTTACGAGTTGTCTATTTTTACTGCCAATATCTCCATCCTTGCAGATAAACCTCAACCTTCTCTCTTTTGCTTCTCTCTTAGTCAATATGACTTTGTTTTCATAGAAATTGTGCATTATCCACATATGTGGATGGCCTTACATAGTTACATATATAGTTAGTGTATAAATAATTTGTTTAGTGCCCTAAAGTCTTATTGCTTGTATTCATGTTTCAACTCTCCACAGTGTTCTTCATAGGTAATGTAGACTTCAGAGAGCCCCAAAGTCTAACAAACCTATTCTAAAAAGCTTCAAAAGGTGAATTGAAATTCAGTTTCCACACAACAAATTAATGTTGTTGTCACATGAATGAAAAGTGGGAATTGAACCATGCTCATTATATTCAACTCTGTTGCCTGGTTGGTCACTTGGTCCTATATGTATATAAATAAAACCGTTGGGCAAAACAAGGCCCCCATCACCTAGCTTGTACCTCCACAACAGTGGTAGTGTAGCATTGAAGGAATCAAGAAAAAGTACCAAAATCCTCAATTATTCCACTCCTTGACTCACCATCGGTTCACTCCAGTAAATATGCCCTTTTCAACACTATAGAGAGACACTTCGTGTCACTTAGACCACAAGATCATTGACTGTATTTTATTTTTATTATTATTAATAGGATATAATAGAATTTGGTCACATCAGATGAATCGAACTGGTTTGTGACAGGTTGTAGCAGAAATTGGTCCCGTCTGGAAAGAAAAGCTAAACCCAGACACCACACCAAACCAGACCAACCAGTAGCACTACTGTAGTAGTATTTGTGCACACACACCTTTTTTCTTGGGCTTTGCCCACCAACACTAAACAAACATGCCCTTAAAATCTGCTTTTCCCTATACTTCTTTTTCCCTCCACTCCCATTCCTTTTACCACCTTTACCATTTGGAGGCTTCAACCCTTAAGCACCTCTCAAACTCTTCACTTTCTTTCCCTGCCTTAAGCTCTCCCTCCATGTACCCAATGAGGTAAAAGATCGAACAGTTCTTCTTCCTCATCGAGTCTAATCAGAAAAAAAATCGAGTTTTTAATGCTTTTGTGTTCAAAGAATCCAACTTTATTACTGCTTATTAACTGAATTCCAGAATTTGGGTTTCTGTTTTTTAGCTTGCATCCAAATTCTAGCTGTCATTTCAGTGTAAAGAAGACACGGGCAGAGAGAGAGAGAGAGAATGTCTGAGTCAGACCCGGGATCCGAAATTCCATTACCTCCCAAGATCGACACTTTGGGGTGGGGGTATCCGCCGGAATGTCGAACACGCCGGTGGTGGATCCTCTGCAGCAGCCGCCGCCAATGGTGATGGAGCAGCAAGTTTACGCGAGCCGTACGGCGCACGGGTCGGTCGGACCCGTGATTGGGGTTCTTGCGGTGATAGCTGTTCTGGGGGCAATAGCGGTCATGATCGGCCGGTTGTGTTCCGGGCGTCGAATCATGGGTCGCGCCCACTACGATTTTGAGAGCTGGGTGGAGACCAAATGCGCGTCTTGCATTGACGGCCGGCTCGACCCGCCACCGCGTCCCGCGGCGGCGACTCAGGGCGGTGGCGCGCCTCCCCCGCCGCCCCCCGAGGCGGAAGAAGCACCCCAAGAAAGCAAGGAAGAAGGGGCGGCGCCGGCGCCGGCGGAGGAGGAACAGAATCATTCACACGGAACAGCTAATTCTTGAAGTGGGTTTGGTGGTTCACATGTTGATGCCCAGCTTTTAGTAACTCATACACTTCCACCATTTCTCAAATGTTTTTTTTTTTTTTTTAAATTTCGACCATTATTTTTCATTTCATCACGTCCGTCCATTCAATGGCAAGGAGATTGTTGACTGAATTTTGACATTTGAAAAAGCTTCCATTGTGGTGTACAACTTACCCAAAAGAGGCCTCTTCTCAGTCCTCATGGACCTCATCACCATAATATAATCTAATCTTATCTTTTTTTATTCCCTCTCTCTTTCCATGATTTTCTTTTATGTTAGTCTTGCTCTACAATTCTTTTTTTTTTTCCCCACTAAATTGTGTTAAAGTCATAACATTTCATCTAAACTCGTAATGATATAAATTAATTCATAAAAATAAAAATATTGTGACCCACAAATTATATAATTTAGCACTTCATATAATCGTTTAAATACTGGATGTAAAAATGTTGATAAAAAAAAATATTTTGGATATGAATATTGGATGGTTATTTACAATCGGCCACTTGTATAGATAGAGATACCATTCAACATAAACTTTTATAAGGTGACGATAAGAATAGTGAGAATATGAAGAAGCAATGGCCGCCCAGTGGACCACCAAAGATGAGGCTGTAGAAAAACCCATCACAACATCATGGCCTGGTCGAATCCTTAGCCAACAAATTGGGCTTTGTATACCACAAACAAAAGTCAGAACTGAAATATATGTTTACTGGGTTTCATTGGTATATGAATTATGATGTTAGACGGGCTGGACTCTCTGGGATCCAATCGTTATGTTGTGAAACCGTGTCCACCTTGCAAGGTGGACACGATTCTATGTTCATAATTACTGGATTATATGTTCATAATTATAAAGTTATATATTCATAATTTTTGAATTTCATATTCATAATTATTGAACTCTATATTCACAATTACAGAACTCTATGTTCATAATTACTGAACTATATGTTCATAATTATAAAGCTATATATTCATAATTTTTGAACTTCATATTCGCAATTATTGAATTTCTATATTCATAATTACAGAACTATATGTTCATAATTATGTTCACAACTCTACATTCATAATTATGAGCAGTTTTAGAACCGTGTCCACCTTGCAAGGTGGCCATGGTTCCACAGCATAATTTGCCGTTACGTGGGACGACGTGTTTAAGGTTGGCAAATTATATCATGTATCATGGTGTACTTTGCATTGTGAACTATAATTTAAAATAACTTTCAGATAATGTGTCTGACATATTTTGTAGTTGCAGTTAACTGTTTATATGCATTTAAATAGACATAATATGTTAACTACGTGCAAATAACATTGTAACTACAAACACACAATATGTTAATGACATATAATATGTTTGTGTCTTCCGTTTATTATTTACAGACACCACACATAAGCTGTAAAGTGTAAGTACAAAATATATCAACTGCAAACACACAATTTTTATACCAAAATACATACCGTAAGATAAATGTGACTCAATGGTTCAGAGACAAGGCCAAATGTCGGTGTGCACAAGAAATCTGCTCACACTGTTATCGTCGATGTTCGAACATTGATCTCTTCTCCTAAATACTGTTCACTAAACCAGTGGGTAAGATGAATGTGATCCTGATATAACAATTGTGTAAAGTGGCAGCAGAGATTCCTGGAGAAGGGTGGGGTGTGCTTTAATTTGTCATTTACTTCGGACGTCAACGACACATATACCGTCAGTGTCGGCACAGTGGACAAGACAAAATTACCGCGGCCTCGATTTCGATCTCTCCCAACACACGGCAGTCATGCACAAACGCCAAAGCCCTCGTGCTTTCAAATCACCCCAGACAAACATTATCCATGAAGACACAAAACCTTTCCCCAAACACAGTACAATGTGCACACCCACGTCGATATATATGTTTGTTGTTCTTAGCGTAGCGACTAGCGAGTAGCGAGGGCGTTTGTTTGTCCATTTTCGCATATTCTAATCTGGGTAGTAGTTCAATTAAGCACAATAATCCAACCATTTTTGTGTGGTATAAACGTAAGAGAATGCCTTATTTGTGCGTCCTCTCATTTTATTCACAATTGTATGTTGGCCTCTCTCATCTTTATATGCACATAACCTAAGAAAAAAGGAATTGAAGCAGTACAACCGTATGTCTGTCTGTCTGTGTTTATGTAATTTATTGCCCGCTGGCGCTTCTGCTGCCAGCTGCCGCTGGGTCGATCAGAATTCAAAGTGTCCGGTCATCTTTTCCGTCAGATGTTCCCCCGAGTCCTCAGACACCACATTTATTTATTATGTACTACTATGTGCAACCTTACTTCTATGTTAAACCAAATTTTATACTCCGTAATATTGTTCATTCCTTTGGGTTTTTAAATTTATAATTTGTGATACCAAGCACTTTGTGCTCAAATAACACATTTGTGCCTTTCAATGTCGCGTGATCAAATTTTGATGGTGAGATATTAAATATTGACTCGAACTACTATAGATACAGTTGTAATCGAGTCAATAGTACAGACTAACACGTTCAATATAATTTCAAGAGATATAATAAAAAAAAGAATTGAATTATATTATTGCTTTCAGTATAAAATATTTTGAACTCATTACAAGCTCCTTTTCAGAATATTTATATAATTCAAACTAAATTAGGAAAGTAACCCCACTCATACGTACTAATTACAAATTGATTGCTTGTGAAAATCAGAATGTAATATTATAAATCCACCTCGAATCTCAAACTAAAATGGTTTGAGGTCGACCACTTGGATTGCGGTCGAATACAAGATTATCAATGTCAAACCCATCATTCAATCCTTTACTTTCTTATGACTCACATAGTGCCTATCAATTATTTGAATATTTCTCATTGAGGTGTAATAACCTTTATTACTTACCTTTTCTTTTGATACTAGTAATTTTATAAAAATAGAGAACTTCAATTTGTTACTTTGACAGCGCGTTTGGTTGAAGGGAATTTAAATTCCATTCCAACTTAATTCTAAATATCACTAAATTTCTTAGTTTGGTGGGTAAGAATTGCAATTGTCTCATTTTGTTGAAAAGTGTGGCACAATCTATGCCTACCTTTTCAATGAGTGTTTTTTGCTACCTATATTTGTTTGCACAGCTATTGAGCGAACCATGAACTGCTACTGGTGGGGATCTGGAACTGACCGTGGGATACACTGAAAGGCATGGGATAAATTATGCCCGAAGAAACATGGTGGTCTGGGGTTCAAGGACCTTCGTGCCTTTAACCTAGCTATGTTGGGTAAATAGGCCGAGGTATGTAGTTTGCTTACTAAAACTTATTCTTTGGTGGCTCGTGTCTATAAGGCTAGATACTATCATAAAGGGTCATTTTTTTATGCATGTTTAGGGAATAACCCCAGTTTTGTTGGCGGAGTATTATGGCAGCTAAAGGCTTAATTTGTAGTGGTGTGAGACGCAGGATTGGGGATGGGGAAACTACACTAATATGTGATCATCCGTGGATACAGGATGATCAGATCCTATGATACAGACTGAGATGCCTCCACAACTGACCGGTGCCAAAGTTGTGGATTTGATTGATCAGGATACGGGTTCGTGGGATCATTTTATTTGACAGATATATTTCTAGGATGTGGCTGGCATTTTGAAAATACCTGTTTCCCAAGACTATGAGGACAGTTGGTATCGGCATGGGATCCTAGAGGAATTTATTCAGTTAAAAGTGGCTATAGACTCATCATTGGAGATTATGCAGATAAGGCTTTTAATAAATGGCTCGCCCTATGGAGACTCAAAATCCCCCAAATGGAAAACCTTTCTATGGAGAGCTATTAGTGATATCCCCCACTACTAAAATTTTGCTTATAAAGAGAGTTGATGTGGATCCAAATTGTGCCATGTGTGGTATAATCCATGAAGACACTATGCATGCTTTGGTGTTGTGTGATTTTGCAAAAGTCATATGGGATCAATCCAACCTTCCAATCCCCAATATTGTGACAAATATGTTTCATGTCTAGTTTAGTGAACTTTTAAATGTTCTTGACTCTAAATGGGATTATCTATTCAGCAACAATTCTATATCATATTTGGAGAGTACGAAATGGAGCGGTTTGGAATGTTTGTCTTCCGCGGTCAAGGAGACTACTCGCGGCTGCCACCGCAGCCATGCAGGCTTTGCACCATGCATGCACGCCCGATTTCCATCTCACAGCCACCAGTTGAGCTGCCGTCTCAGGCACATCCAGCTGCATTTGCTGTACCGGTTACTGCGCCACCGCCGAGAGTCTGCCGCATCGATGTCGGGTACCACCACGCGATGGGCAAGGCTACGGCTGCAATGGTTCTTCTCGATATAAATGGGGGGTATGTTTCAGCCTTCAGTGCTCCTCTTCCGGATTGTTTTTCACCACTTATGGCCGAGGCATTTGCATGCAAGGATGCCTTGTCGTGGTTAAGGGATCAGGGCGAGCGGTCTATAGAGCTTTACACATATTGTCTAACACTTCAGCTCGTTATCTTATCTCACCACCATCTACAGTTCGTTCGTACATCAGTTATGATATTGGTAGTTGCAGAGCATCTACATCCTTGTTTGATTTTTCTTCAGTTAAATTTATTCCTAGATCAGATAATTATTTAGCACATACTTTAGTATCTACAGCTTTCCAACATTCTACTACTATGTATTGGAATCTGCTCCCTCCTGACTCTATTGTAGCTTATTTCTAATGAATACACCACTGGTTATTTTCAAAAAAAATATGTATTTCAATTTTTTTTTTTTTTTTTACTTTGTCCTCAAATAGTATGTTTTTGATTAAATTTTATTTATTTCTTTTTTCTTTCCTCATTTAAATCAAAACAAATGAAGTAAGGGTGTGTTTGGTTCGCATCGGGGAATCGGAATTGAGAGATGAATCAAATACTTGGTAATAATAATATGTTTTGGTGAAAATATTTTGAATGTTTGGTAGTGATTGGAATTGGAATGATTACCAATATTGTTGTTTTGTTATATATGACCCTATAATGAAAATAAATGTTTTAAAAATAAAAAAATAAAAAAATTAAGGCAATTGATCATAATATAATGACATCCAAAACACCAATATATAAAAAAAAAATCAAATAAAAAATCTAAAAACACTAATCCAAACTTAAAAAATCAAATCTCCATAAAATAATATCTGTTTTAATTATGTAATGAAGTTTTTAATTAAATACGTAAGTAAATCTATAATTATGTTTTAAAAAATTGTCAACCAAACATTAACTATCATTTTGATTCTAGTGTCAAACCTATGAACTAAACACACTCTAAGTTTCACTTAGAAGTTAAAACCCATTTTTTATTTTCCCCTTATATTTAATATAATCCATTGTCGCCCAGAGACTGTGAAAGAGGACGCCATTGAAAAATGAGTTAGACGTGAAACAGGGGAGCGGTAGAAGTTAGAAATAAATATATATAAATATATCTCTATATAAATACACACGCAAACGCATAGCATAGCAGAAGCTTGCCTAGGGTTTTCACTGACTGTACGCAGAGGAACGGAGATGGGTTGGCCGCGGTGCTTCCTCGACATAAGCATCGGAGGGGAGCTGGAAGGGAGGATAGTGGTGGAGCTCTACAACGACGTCGTCCCCAAAACCGCCGAGAATTTCAGGGCTCTTTGCACCGGCGAGAAGGGCATTGGTCCCAACACCGGCGTCCCTCTTCATTACAAGGTATTATCCATCCCTCTTCTCTCATTCTGCTGTATATCCGCGGGGTAGACATGGCTGCTTCCTGAAAATTTGAAATGATTGTTGGTTTTCAGCTGTTGGAAGTTTATTCTGTGTTTTTCTTCTTTGCCTGCTGTTTAGTTAAATTCAGTTCATATTCTTTTATAAATTTATGATGATATAATGCTGGGATAGATGGATATCCTTGTTGATTATGAATAGTAGGTCCCTTTGATAACTTAGAAGCGCAATAGTAGCAGTTCTTTACATTGCTTTTAGTCCATATATCAACTCTTTTGACTATTATTTCGGCTAAGATTGAATCCGGACACTCTGGATGTCTATTTTTAAACACTTTCGCTAAGATGAATTTTGGTACATTCTGGTACTAAAGTATGTGCCACTACTGTTGGTGGATTCACTTAACTAAAAATAAGTTACTATATCTGCTACATAACTTGCTATATACCTCTTCCTAATCATCCTGGTGCACACAGTAAATAATTGATAAAGCTTTTATCTTTATCTACACAGTAGACACCCAGTCATTAGATAAAGATTTTAGCTTCAAATTCCAATATTTTTCTGTTTGTTGGTACAGTTCTATAGTAAAAGCATAGTCATGTAGATTGAACATTAAGCATTCCAAGGATTTCTGGGAGAGACCTGATGGGGGTTTCTTTGACCAGTTTCTCTTGACTCTTTAACACGTGTTGCAGGGAGTCCGTTTTCATCGTGTTATTAAGAGCTTCATGGTACAAGGTGGTGACATTTCTGCAGGAGATGGTACTGGTGGAGAGTCCATTTATGGACTAAAATTTGAAGATGAAAATTTTGAGTTGAAACATGAAAGGAAGGGGATGTTATCTATGGCTAATGCTGGTCCTAACACAAATGGGTCCCAATTTTTTATCACCACCACTCGCACTTCTCATCTCGATGGAAAGCATGTTGTGTTTGGCAAGGTAATAAAAGGAATGGGGGTTGTTCGTTCTATTGAGCATGTTCAGACTGGCGAAAATGATTGCCCCAGTGATGATGTTATAATTTCGGATTGTGGAGAAATACCGGAGGGTGCGGATGATGGAATTGCAAATTTTTTCAAAGATGGTGATATGTATGCTGATTGGCCAGCTGATCTTGACAACAACCCTGATGAACTCTCTTGGTGGGAGAGTGCTGTACTGTCAATCAAGGCATTTGGTAACGAATATTTTAAGGTATTAGCCATTACGTAGATAATACTGAGGGTTCAACATTTCAACCATTAACTGCTGCTACCTCTTTTTATTTATTGATTTATTTTTTGGTTCCTTTGTTTTGCTTTTTTCAAGAAACAAGACTATAAGATGGCTCTTAAGAAGTATCGAAAGGCTTTGCGGTATTTGGATGTCTGCTGGGAAAAGGAAGGGATCGATGAAGGTAAGCTGCTGTGCCCTTAAATATTTATGTTACAGACTCATACTTTCAAACTATATCATTAAGTAAATACTGACACTGTAAATGTGGTTTGTATTTATGCAGACAAGAGTTTGTATTTAAGAAAGATGAAGTCGCAGATTTTCACTAATAGTTCTGTGAGTTCCTTACCTGTTGTTTGTCCAGTTAATATTTGTGTTCTCCTCTCATTGTTAGCATGTTTCAGTGATCAAGGGCCTTTGTGGGATATTTCTTTTGATTGAAGAGATAAATTAGTGGAATGTCTTACCTGCCCTGTCTCCTCCAACTAACCCATACCTAAATTTTGCCCTTTCCCTAGTTCTAGTTTTGGTCATGTCTTGCTTCTTCCTATATTTTATTCTTCAGTTCTTCACCAAAACCAAACTGCTCTTCAAGTACAGATTTATTTATTTATTTATTCAGGCTTGCAAACTGAAACTGGGAGATCTAAAGGGAGCACTCTTAGATGCTGACTTTGCTATGCGTGATGGAGAGAACAATGCGAAAGCTCTGTTTCGCCAGGGTCAGGTTGGTCTTAACTCTTAAGTCACTCGGAACCTGACTTTTTAGTGTTATATTTTGAAATTATAAATGGGATATCTTTTAGGGGGGACCATGTTGCTTTGGTGCATGTTCTTCCCATCAAATGATTTGATATATACTCCTAACACTATAGTCTCACTGACTCAATCAGGCACATCTTGCTCTCAATGATATCGATGCTGCTGTTGAAAGTTTCAAGAAAGCACTGGAGTTGGAGCCAAATGACGGTCAGTATCTTTCTGTTATCCTTCTTATGTTCTCTTCTTTACCAATGTGCAATTGCTTTTAAAGGGATGTGATGAGGATTTGCTGCTGTCTAACTATGTTAAAGTTCTCACTAAAGCACCAAAGTTAATTGACCGCTCATTATCTTAATTGATGAAAATGTCCGAGTCAAAGATATTCTACTAAGCATTGAGTGAACAATTGCTTTGCCTAATTAACATACAATGTATTAAAAGTGTTGTTGAGATTCTGAATGCTATTACGTAGCTGACTTGCTTGCTGTTGCTTACTTGCTTTCAGTGGGGATTAAAAAGGAGCTTGCTACTGCAAAGAAGAAGGTAAATACAGTAAATTAAATATTGAGTTTACTATTGTGGTGTATTCACAATGCTGATGCACTTTTCTTTGTCACAGATTGCTGATAGACGTGATCAGGAGAGAAGAGCATATGCTAAGTTGTTTCAATAGCGTTTGAGGTAATCCTGTTTTCCCTGTTAGATAATAATTTATTTTTTTTTTTTAAATGGTAGCCAAGCATGGTTTGTTTTAGCTCCATTATGTATCAAGAGTGTAGTTTCCCGTAGTTTTGGGCAATTTGATAAGTCTGATGTGAATCGTTTGTACAACAGTTTTTTGTGCGTATGGTGTCTATGACCATATCTAGAGAGTCTACTTGTCCGCTACCATTTCTTGATTTCATAAGTGTGGTGTAAGTAATGCAATATTTGTACTGATTGATTTTCGTAATATTGGTTTTCAGGAGGTTTAGTTTAAAAAGGAGAGCAATGGTTAACTGGCTTCCAACATAGATCGAAACAGGATGATGCGTGGCCATTTTCCACCGAAACATTTTGAACTGATAGTTGTTGTATCATGTACTAATCTTTGTCACAACAGCAGGCCATTGCCCTGATTAATAGTACTGTCAGTGCCTTTAAGGATATTTATCCTGCTTGTTGAACTTTTCAGGCAAATCTTTTTTTTTTTTTTTTTTTTTTAAACTTTTTTCTATTTTGGAAGAAATATGTTAAACTAAAACACAACTCAATTTCAAGCCCAGTATTTATCTTCGCTTGCTTCTTTGTATGTAGCAAGAAGACATATACCAAATGAAAACACAGTTGGGTTGTCATTTGGCCCAAAGGATTGGAGATATAGCTTAACCTTCCAAACATTTATGGGTTGCAGTTGGAGCTCAACTTAGTGCTATATATATATATATATATATATATATATATATATATATATATATATATATATATATATATATATATATATATATATATATATATATATATATATATATATAGTTCAATAAGTTATAAGTGTTAATGACTTATTATATTAGTTTATTGGGACAATAAGCCAAAATTTGAAAAGATAAAGGCCCTGTTTGGTAAAATGGCTGTTAGTTGATAGCTGTTAACTGTTAACTGATTGTGTTAATTAGAGGGTATAAATAATTGATAACATTGGTTGATTGTAGAAAAGTGTTTGGTAAATTAGCTGTTAGCTGATAGCTGTTTGGTATAATTTCTTTTTTTCAAAAAGCTAATTGAAAAAGTTGCTTGGAGTAGCTTTTTGAATTTTAGCCTTTTGGAGTTGCAAAAAGCTAATTAACCAAACATTTATATTGATATTTTAACTAAATCAAACAATTAATAGTGGTCAAATAAGCCAAAATTGGCCTATAGGTCAATTTTTTACCAAATAGGGCCAAAAAGAGTAGAGTTTTTGATTAGCTGATGGCTTTAATCATGAAATGACCATTTTACCCTTACCATCCCTAATATTTATATCTCTCTTGTTGTTTATCTACCTTGCCCATTTTTCTTTTTGTTTTCATAACAACAATAATAACTTTTTTATTTCACTCATAATGATAATAACAATAATAATAAATATTTTTTAAAAACCTATTTATATATCTCACTGTTTCAAAAAAAAAAAAAAAAACAGAAGATATATGTAGATGAGAAGTGGGCTTCATTTTCCAGACTTCACATGGAGCTTTAAAAACAGAACAAAAACAGTGTTAAATCTGGTTTCATGAAAATTGTATGTTTTTTGATGAGGGAATGATTGGATTAGATATGTATGTTTTGATTGAAGTATTATTGTGAAAACTAAGAGGCGTAACATATGGGGTGTTTGGAGGTGCACGTGATTTCCACGGCAAAGAGGGGACGGAGACTCAACAGTCAACAGTCAACAGTCAAAGGTCAACTAAGTCAACGGAGAGTAACTCATACGCATATGCATAGTTTCCATAATTCAATACTAATGTTTGCTGTTTTCATTACTGTCGTTTTCTTGTCTGCTCATTTCATCTACAACAACACCCTCTTTTTTCTTACTTTTAATTGAAATTAAAAGGAATAAATTTACTAAAACTATGAACTAATAATCAATTAAATAAAACCCAATCCAATTAAATTTTATTATTTTGCATTAATATAATATTTTATGGTTTTTGTTGAGACTTTGTTATTTCCAATTCAAGTTTACTCTGGTGGTCATTTTGTTGACTTTTATTGTTTTGATTTGTGCATGAATCAAGATGATATATATTGAATAATGGACCTTCCTTTCAATTACACTTTAGACTATTTCATATAGACTTCAGCCTTTTATAAATGTTTCCACCACCCTTAATTAAAAATTTCAAGTCTCCCCAACTTCCAACTCAAATTCCGACGGACTTTGGTGGATCAAAGACTTTTTCTTGGATTGGATTTGATCTCCTCATTGCATCATTCATCATATTAATTATACTTAGATTTCTTTTTTGCTTTTTTCCCCCCTTTTTAATCCAAATTAAACATTCTTCTTGCAAGCAAGTGCTTGCCAACGGGACATTAATAAAGTTTTATTCTAAAGTTGATATTTAGGCAGTTTCAAATGTTAATTAACGTACGCCAGCAACATTATTTTATCATACTCCATATAGGTGGGGAAAAAAATCCATATATACATCCACTTTGTATACATTAGATTTTGATAGTTATTCGGCAATTAGAATATTGCAAAGTAACAAGTATAATGGCAAGTTTAAACATAAATGTTGTAAAAAATAATACCATTAAGCTGTTAGCAATGTTATTATTTACATTATTATTTGTATTATTTATGTTGACTAGTCTTTGCATTAGGTTAGTTATTTATGACTTTCCTAGTTAATAGGATTAGTTCACGCTATGTATTTAGAATACTGTTCTGTAATCTCGATTGTGTTGGAATTGAAACTGTGATCCTTATCTCATCTGGTATCAAGCCGGGTCCGTTTCTCTCTCCTCTCAATTATTCTCCGATCGTTTTCGATCGACAGCTCCTCTCCCAAAACCGTCGGCGATACACTATGTCTACCAATTCATCCGAAAAGACAGTGTCCGCCGGCGACTCTCAACGGGTATTATTTTTGTTGATTGTGTTACATTTAAGTGATTACTTTGAGGTAATATTTCGAGTGAGATTCACTTCTAATTTGGGTTGGGTCAAAGTAGATTTGAATTTTTCTAATTGAAGGGATCAATTTGATATATTAATTTCTCAATGTGTACACATGGGATTGAAAAAATGGAGCTCTTTAAAGTCTTTTAAGTAGCATTTGTCCAAATTGAATCAAAATTCCAAAAATGAGTTCACGGAATGTTAGATTACCTTAGGGAATGTTAGATTGCTGGGAATGTTAGATTACTGGGAATGTTAGATTGCTGAGAATGTTAGATTACTGGGAATGTTAGATTACTGTGTTTGGTTTAAAACTAAGATATGTAAATAAGACAACAATAATAAGATAAATTGATTAAAAAAATACAAAGCCCAACACCAGTAATAAGACAAGGGAATGTAAGATTACCTAAGAAATTGGAGGGTATCTCACATTCCCTTACAATAGCTAAAAACTTAATGCAGAGGTTATCTGACATTCCCTTAAAAAGTTACAAACCAAACATGGGAATCTTATATTACCAACCAAATATAACCTTGGTTGTCTTATATAACCTGAATCAAACACTTACTAAATGTTTGTTCGATTCATTATAGAACTAAATGCGGTCACTATGGGGTCTTGAACTCCTAACTACCCCTTCCCTGGTTAAAATATTGATTTCCACACGTGTGAGGTTAGTTTACGTGATTTAATGATTTTTAAGTGTAAGACTTATACAATGTAGGGATTGTCTATTGAACATTATAATGCCTTTTTGTTTTGAAAACCAATTTTTTCATTTATGTGGGTAGATTTGTGAAAACTTGGCATAAAGTGGCATATGAGTTGTAATGTTGAGACATTGTTTGAAGAATGAAGATACAAACTTGAATTAAAGTTGTAATTGAATCGCAATCTTGAATTAAAATATAATCTAACAACATTCAAAGTGGAGAGAAGCTATTTTAGAGAGATCTTAGAGGATAAAGTACATATGAAGTCCTTGTACTATAGTGTTTTATTCAATTTAGTTCTTGTACCTTTATTATGTTCAATTTAGTCTATCTACTTTAAAAAGTGGTGAAACTAAAGACAATAGTTAACGGTGTTAATATTACTGTTAACTTAGCTTACATGGAGCTGACATTATTGCTGCCGCATCATGATATTTATATTCCAACTCGTATATTATTTTATAAATATTTAAAATTAATTATTTTTACCACTAATATATTACTTTAATATGTCAAAAATAAATAATTACAAGCATGCTGACATCAAGTATAGCTGAGGTGGCTTGCTGATTGCTTCACCTTCATGATGTATGGGGTGTTTGGTAGGATGGAATTGCAATTCCATGGAATTGTAATTCTATGGTTTGGTTGGAGGGGATTACAATTCCCTTCAACCATGGAATTGTAATTACATGGTAAATTACCACTTTACCCTCATATTATTACTGTATTTATATTATATAAGGGCACTTTAGTATTTATTCACTTCTTCCATCCAACCAAACTTCAATTCCCAAGTGAGGTTATGAGAACCTGTATTAATTGTATTCAATGAAGAAAGAATTGCACAGTATAAATAGTGTACAAGGGAAGAGAATTAACCGGAGGTTACAACTAAGCTAGACTACATGAACGTAAATAGAATTGATAAATAAACAAATATAATATTAACCACATATAGGCTTAACACATGAGAGCTTATAATAAGGTTCTTCAATGCTATGTCTTACTAAAATACTTATAGAGTGATGAGTAATATGCAATGAGGAAGTCGGCAATGATAAATATGTGCCCCAACTTGAGTTTTCCCGTGCTTACAACTTGATGATTGTTAGTTTATTTGGGGTTTAAAAGCCTAGATCTCTAAGTTATAGTGAGATTGGCCTCAACTACTAACCACCCCACTGCCACCTGAAGATGATCGAAAACAAAAAGTTTGGATTGACATGGACTTATCTCTTTATTTTTCTTTATCTGTAAATCTTAAGTGTGGGAGCAGTTTATTATATCCTGTATCCTATTATATTAAATAGTTGTCTTTCAGGATGGTTTTATCTCGTCATTCAATTTTTTACCATACTCTTTTGTTTACCTCTAATTGTTTTTAAAAGGAAAACATTGCTAAAATTCTAAAAATATGAAGTAATAATCAATTAAATTAAATTAAATCCACAACAATATATTAAACAATAAAATTTTTTCATTAATCGACCTACGATAATATATATATATATATATATATATATATATATATAGAGAGAGAGAGAGAGAAGGGATCAGGTACGGGAGGGACTTCCGGTACGGTTGTGCAGTTGGACGCACATCAAGCATTAATTGACGCACTTTAAGTACACAATACACGCACATAAACAAAACACAAACTCACACACGTTAGACACAAAACTCACGCATGTTAAGCATAAGCATCACGCATGTTAAGCACAAGCCTCACGCATATTAAGTACAAGCCGCACGCACCTTAAGCACAGAACTCAGACACCTTTTAAGTTTCAACAACTACTCACATTAAACACAAAACTCACGCACCGTAAACACAAAACTCACGCACTTAAGCACAAAATTCACTCAAGTTTTCAACAACTCACATTAAGCACAACCCTCACACACATTAAGCACAAGACTCACGCACTTGATG